CTCGACTCACGGCAGAACAGAGAGAACGAGCTATTGGGATGTTGCAGCTGGGTGCTTCTCACAGTCACGTTGCAAGAATCATGGGTTGCAGCAAGAAAACCATCACCAGACTGATGACACGCTTCAGAACAACAGGTCGGACTGCAGACAGGCCTAGGACAGGGAGACCACCCGTAACCACCCCTCAGGAAGACCGCCATTTACGGGTGCTTCACTTGCGCAACAGATTCCTGACTGTGACGTCATCAGCAACAACCAGCCTTACCCATCCAGTCAGTAGAAGGACCATATCCAGACGACTCCGCCGATTCGGTATCAGAGCCTACAGACCATTCCGGGGCGTGACGTTAACGCGTGAACATCGACGTCGTCGCTTGGCTTGGGCACGTAGAGTTCGGCAGTGGCAGCCGCGGAACTGGCGCCGGGTACTCTTCAGTGACGAGAGCCGCTTCCAGTTGAACAAAGCTGATGGTCGGGTACGAGTCTACAGACGTCGGAACGAACGCACAGCACGTTGTTGCTTTGGCTCAAGCTCTACAGGAAGAATGGCGTCGCATCCCAGATCACGTGATCAGACGTCTTGTGCACTCTGCACGACGTCGTGTGGCAGCATGTATCGCTGCAAGAGGTGGACACACTCGCTACTGAGGAGTTGGACACTCAAAGACACTCTGTCAGTACTGATGTGCATGTGTTGTCATGATCGAAACCCGGACATTTGAACCTCCTGTGAAAAACGTCACAAAAACTCTACTTACAGCAAATTGTTTCAATTGTTCTGTAATGACAGTCTGCATAATATGTTCAACAATTATATAAAACATTTCAACATTGAATTGCACGTGTTTGTATCATTTTATGATAAAAAAAAATGATCGGGGACGTTTCTTTTGCCCCTCAGTTTATGTTATTTACTTTGAAAGATGGCAAAAAAGACATTAATTTGAAGTTTGATAACTGCAATATAAAAACAGTCGATTTTCATAAACATCTGAGTTTAATCTTCACGTCTAACGGGAGCTGGCATCATCATATTGAAAACATTATCAAAAAGACATCTAAAATGATTGGAGCATTTCGGAAATTAAAGTTCTTATTAAATAGAACAACACTAGCGAAAATATATACTGTATTCATAAGGCCACTTTGAGTACGCATGCGAGGTATGGGATGGATGTTTAATTGAACAAGCTAATAGATTAGAAAAACTTCAACTTGAAGCAGCGCGCATAGTTACTGGTCTTCCAAGATATGCATCTTCCAGTTCATTGTATTACGAAACGGGATGGGATTTACTTTCTGAGAGAAGAGAAGACCAAAATTAACATTATTTTATAAAATTAAAAAATGCCTGACACCAGTTTTTCTTCAAGATTTACTCCCACCTGTAGTTAGCAACCAGACAAGTTATGAGTTAAGAAACTGAAATAACTTTAGTCAACCATATACAAGACTGAGGTACTCAACGTCATCTTTTATTCCATCAACAGTTAAAGTGTGGAATAATATTCCCTTAGCTATTAGAAATTGCGACTCTGTTGCCACGTTTAAATCTTATATCCACGTGAAGGAAAATTTGCACCTATATATTATTCATATGGAATAAGGAAGTTCAATGTTATGCACACTAGATTAAGATATATGACGAGTACACTTAATTATGATTTATATAGAATAAATGTAAAAAATGACGCATCATGTCAATGTGGCCATAGATGTGAGAATGTTTTTCATTACTTCCTTGAATGTCCTTTGTATACTATTCAAAGACATAAACTGTTAAAATCTTTAGAACATATTGTCAAAAATAGAACACTGATTGATATTAATCTTCTCTTACAAGGCAATGCAGGTCTCTCAATCACTGACAACCAGAATGTTTTCAAATATGTACATATCTATATCTCTCAAACAAAACGCTTTCTCAGTTAACATCTGTTGTACATATCCTAGCCTATGTCTGTCACTTGTGTACTTTGTTGTAAGATGAATTGTGTAATTATCTGGAGAGGGCTTTTCTAAGTTGGATAACTTGTGCCCAATCCTTTTCTTGAATGAATAAAATATGTTTAAAACAAAAAACTGTGTTGTTTCTGGTGTTGTTGTTTTTCATGAAAAGAGGTACTATTTCAAACACATCCTTATTTCCCGCAGATATAACCGAGGAACACTTTGACCATCATAGTAACGAGGAGATCAGGAGGGTGTATATCTTCATTCTCAAACGCAACTGTCATGTCCCAGACGTCAAGATACAGCACCTGGTCATACAGATTTACAAACTCCCTTTTCAGGATATTTTCATAAGCAGGACCCCACATACCACCCAGAGGTGTTATTGGTGTAGGTACGGAAAATTTATGTGGACCTTTGATGACAATTTTGACATCAGGAGAACGTTTCAGAAGGTTTACTATTGCAAGTCTTGTTCTGAGGACACGAGCTCTGTAGATGTGGATTGGGGTAAAATGGAAATGAGCATAAAGATTAAAAAGAATGATATCATTTGATCCAGATGGTATGTCATCCAAGCGAGCAGACACTGGCTGGGTGATTATTCTATTAGCTTTGGCAAACCACATTGGGAACCCATGGGGCAACAGGTATACTGTATAGTTATATTTGGTGTGGTGCGCCTCGCATATTGTTGGCCCATCGTAAAAGTTTCGTTTCTTGCTCTTCTTGCCCTCCGGGGGACCTTTTGTAATGGTGAAACCTAACATCGAATAAAGCGCTCCAAATATTTGTCTGACGGTGGAGTCGCCAAACAACTTGAGAGTTCTGTTGGCCAAACATTGATTATACATGTCAACAGGGACGCTGTTCCGACATGATAGAGGGCGCCACGTGTTGTTGTAGGAGAAGCCGACAGGTGGCGTTGCCAACCAGGTATCCCGGAAGCTCCTTCGACCACAAGGGATTGTAGGAGACACAGCGAGGTCTTTCCCTGCTAAACAAAATACAAATGCACTTTGAATTATATACGTAACAAAAGAAGCAAATATATGCACAGTAAATGATGAACTTTGTCTTGAAAAAGAAATAAGCTTTTCAGTATATATAAACAAAATAGAGACTTAAAAAGTATTCATAAATTAGCCGGCTTCAGAAAGAGTCCACACAATTCTGAATATCAGCTATTACAAACCACCAGACCACCAGAGAATAGCTAGTCTGAATTATCCCCCAAAATCCTTTGGACATATAACGTTTCATTAAACACTCCGAAAGTTTATTACGGTAGAACATAGGAAACTTGTCATTTTTTTAAAGTGTTGCGACTCACCAAACACACACACAACACATTGATATAGCTGTAAAAAATGATTTATATAATTACAAAACAGTTTTTATACAATGATATATCCAAACATACCGTGTGGTTTGGACGATATATTTATTGTGGTAAAGTCCGAGAGATACTCTGTGGATCTCCATCTGAAACATATTGCGCTGCTCTGTTCAACAATGAAATACAATGTAGTGAGTATGATTTAAGGCCCCCTTTAGCAATATTGCAGAAACATCACAGCGAGTGGCACAAGAAATGGGTTTCACACATTTTACTGATGTGGTGATTCGAACCCGGTCTTCGGTGTGACAAGCGAACGCTTTAACCACTTGGCAACCTCACTGCTCCCAACAGCCAAATCAGGTAAAATCGGGTTTAACGGGATGTTCAAGATTCCTAATATAGCAACATGTGTGTGTGCGTGTGTGTGCGTACGTGTGTGCGTCTGTGTGTGTCTGTTGTAGTGCTGCAAATAAGGATGGCGACTCCACTCAGAGACTCCAGCCTTTGTTTTGTTGCCTTAAAGCCAAGATTCGGTGAGTCGCTCAACCACACACTCAACCACACGATCAAAAACACTCAACCACACACTCAACCACACACTCAAACTCACACTCAACCACACACTCAACCTCACACTCAACCACACACTCAACCACACACTCAACTACACACTCAACCACACACTCAACCACACACTCAACCTCACACTCAACAATACACTCAACCCCACACTCGACCACACACTCAACCAAACACTCAACCAAACACTCAAACACAAACTCAACCACACACTCAAAAACACACTCAACCTCACACTCAAAAACACACTCAACCACAAACTCAACAACACACTCAAAAACACACGCAACCTCACACTCAACCTCACACTCAACCACAAACTCAACCACACACTCAAAAACACACTCAACCACACACTCAACCTCACGCTCAACCACACACTCAACCACACACTCAATCACACACCCAAGCACACACTCAACCACACACTTAACCACGCACTCAAAAGCACACTCAACACTCAACCACACACTCAACCTCACACTCAACCACACACTCAACCCCACACTCGACCACACACTCAACCAAACACTCAAACACAAACTCAACCACACACTCAAAACCACACTCAACCTCACAATCAAAAACACACTCAACCACAAACTCAACAACACACTCAAAAACAGACTCAACCTCACTCAACCTCACACTCAACCACAAACTCAACCACACACTCAAAAACACACTCAACCACACACTCAACCTCACGCTCAACCTCACGCTCAACCACACACTCAACCACACACTCAATCACACACCCAAGCACACACTCAACCACACACTTAACCACGCACTCAAAAGCACACTCAACACTCAACCACACACTCAACCTCACACTCAACCACACACTCAACCTCACGATCAACAATACACTCAACCTCACACTCAACCTCACACTCAACCACACACTCAACCACACACTCAACCACACACTCAACCACACACTCAAACACACACTCAACCTCACACTCAACCACAAACTCAACCACACACTCAAAAACACACTCAACACTCACACTCAACCTCACACTCAACCACAAACTCAACCACACACTCAACCACACACTCAACCTCACGCTCAACCACACACTCAATTACACACTCAACCACACACTCAACCACACACTCAACCACACACTCAACCACGCACTCAACTGCACACTCAACCTCTACCACACACTCAACCACACACTCAACCACACACTCAACCACACACTCAACCACACACTCAACCTCACACTCAACCACACACTCAACCACACACTCAACCACACACTCAACCTCACGCTCTCAACCACACACTCAACCACACACTCAACCACGCACTCAACTGCACACTCAACCTCTACAACACACTCAACCACACACTCAACCACACACTCAACCACACACTCTCACTACACACTCCAACCTTTCACACTCAACCACACACTCAACCACACACTCAACCACACACTTCAACCACACACTCAACCACACACTCAACCACCCACTCAACCACACACTTCAACCACACACTCTCAACCACGCACTTTCAACTGCACACTTCAACTCTCACGCTCAACCACACACTCAACTACACACTCAACCACACACTTCAACAACACACTTTAACCACACACACACCACAACCTTTACACTCAACCACACACTCAAACACACACTTCAACTTTCACACTTCAACCACAAACTCAACCACACTTCAACCACACACTTCAACTCTCATGCTCAACCACACACTTACTAATTACTTCTCAACCACACACTCAATCACACACTCAAACCACACACTTTCAACCACACACTCTCAACCACACACTTAAACACACACTCAACTTCTCACACTCTCAACCACACACTCAAAAAACACACTCAACTCTCACACTCAACTTCTCACACTTCAAATTCACAAACTCAACCTCACACTTCAACCACACACTTCAACTCTCACGCCTCAACCACACACACTTCACTACATACTTCAAATTCACACACTCAACCACACAATTTCAACCACACTTCAACCACGCAACTCCAACTGCACACTTTCAACTTTCTACTACACACTCAACTACACACTTAAACTTCACATACTTCAACTCAACTCACACTTAACCACACACTCAACCACACACTACACACTTCAACCACACACTAACACACTTCAACTCTCACGCTTCAACCACACACACTTCAACCACATACTCTCAAGAACGCAATTTCAATTGCACACATACTTCAACTTCTACTTCACACTCAACCACACACTTCAACACACACACTCAACTACACACTTCAAATTCACATACTTCAACTCTCACACTTCTCAACCTTCAATTCACACTACTTCAACCACATACTTCAACTACCTACTTCAACTACAATACTTTCAACTACCTACTTCAACCAACTACCTTCAACTTCACACTTCAACCACATACTTCAACCACATACTTCAATTGCACACTTCAACTTTCACGCTTCAACTACACTTCTACTACACACTTCAACCTAACACACACTCAACAAACACACTTCAACCACACACTCTTTACCACACACTTCAACTACACACTTCAAACACACACTTCAACTCTCACACTTCAACTACAAACTCAACTACATACTCTTAACCACACACTCTCAACTCTCACGCTTCAACCACACACTCACTACTATACTTTCAACCACACACTTCAACCACACACTTCAACCATGCACTTTCAACTGTAATTACTTCACTTCTACTTCACACTTCAACTACACACTTCAACTACATACTTCAACTACATACTTCAACCACACACACTTCAACCACATACTTCAACCACACACTTAAACTCACGCACTTCAACTGTACACTCAACTTTCTACTACACACTTCAACTACACACACTTCAACTACACATACTTCAACTACTGCACTTCAACCACACACTTCAACCACACACTTCAACCACACACTTCAACTACACACTCAAATACTCTAACCACACACTTCAACCACACACTCTTAAATTCACACACTACTTCAACTACACACTCAACCACACACTTCAACTACACACTTCAACCACACACTTCAAACCACACACACTCTCAACCACACACTCTCAACCACACACTTCAACCACATACTTCAATCTTTACACACTTCAACTACCTACTCAACAACTTACTTCAACTACACTTCAACCACATACTTCAACCATGTACTTCAACTGCACACTCTCAACCACACACTCTCAACCACACACTCAACTACACACTTCAACCACACACTTCAACAACATACTTCAACCACACACTTCAACCACACACTTTCAACCACACACTTCAACACACACTTCAACTCTCACACTTCAACTACACAACTTCAACCACACACTCAACCACACACTTCAACTCACATGCTCAACCACACACTTCAACTATACTTCTCAACCACACATTTCAATCACACACTTCAACCACACACTTCAACCACACACTCAACTGCAAACTCTCAACTTCAAATACACACTTCAACCACACACTTCAACCACACACTCAACCACACACTCTCAACCACATACTCTAACCACACACTTCAACCACACACTCAACCATCACACACTCAACACACACTTCAACCACACACTAATTTCAACTGCACACTTCAACTTTCTACCACACACTCAACCACACACACTTTTCAACTACTACTTCAACTATGCACTTCAACCACACACTTCAACCACACACTTCAACCACACACTCAACTACACACACTTCAACCACACACTTCACTACACACTCAAACCACACACTTCAACTCTCACACTCAACCACACACTTCAACCACACACACTTCAACCACACACTTTCAACTCTCACTCCAACTACACACTTCAACCACACACTTCAACCACGCACTCTCAACTGCACACTCTTCAACTCTCACGCTCAACCACACACTCAACTACACACTCAAGCACACACTTCAACACACACACACACTTCAACCACACACTTCAACCACACACTCCCAACTACACACTTCAACCACACTTAAACACACACAACTACACACTCCCACACACTCAACCACACACACTCTCAACTCACACACTCCTCAACCACACACTTTCAACCACACACTTCAACCACACACTTCAACCACACACTCAACTGCACACTCTTCAACTCATACGCTCAACCACACACTCTTCAACTACACACTCAACCACACACTCTACCACACACTTCAACCACACACTCAACCCACACACTCAACCACACACTCAACCACACACTCAACCAAATACACTTCAACCACACACTTCAACCACACACTTAACAACTGCACACTTCAACTCACATACTTCAACCACACTCAACCACACACTCAACACTCTCAACACACACTTCAACTACACACTCAACCACACACTTCAACTGCACACACAACTCTTCAACCACACACTTCAACTCCAATGCACTCAACTGCACACACTCAACCACACACTCCAACCACACACTCCCACCTACACACTCAACTGCACACTCAACCTCTACCTACACACTCAACCACACACTCAACCACACACTTCAACTACACACACTTCAAACCACACACTCAACCACACACTCAACCAACTCAACACACTTCAACCACACACTCAACCACACACTCAACCACACACTCAACCACACACACTCAACTGCACACTTCCAACCACAACTCTCTACCACACACTCAACCACACTCCAACTCAACCACACACTCAACCACACACTCTCAACCACACACTCAACAACACACTCAACCACACACTCAACCACGCACTCAACTGCACACAACTCACTCTACTCACACACTCAACCACACACTCAACCACACACTCAACACTCACAACTCACTCAACCACACACTCAACCACACACTCAACCACACACTCAACCACACACTCAACCACACACTCAACCACACACTCAACTGCACACTCAACCTCTACCACACACTCAACCACACACTCAACCACACACTCAACCACCCACACAACCACACACTCAACCACACACTAAACCGCACACTCAACCGCACACTCAACACTCACCGCACACTCAACACTCAACCACATACTCAACGACACACTCAATCACACACTCAACCACACACTCACCCACACACACAACCACACACTCAACCTCACACTCTACCACCCACACAACCACAAACTCAACCACACTCAACAACACACCCAAACTCACACTCAACCTCACACTCAACCTCACACTCAACCACACACTCAACCACACACTCAACCACACACTCAACCACACACTCAAACACACACTCAACCTCACACTCCCTAACCACAAACTCAACCACACACTCAACCACACACTCAACCTCACGCTCAACCACACACTCAATTACACACTCAACCACTCACTCAACCACACACCTACTTCACACATACTTCAACCATGCACTTTCAACTGCACACTCAACCTCTCTACCACACACACAAAATTCACACACTTCACCACACACTTCAACCACACACTCAACCACACACTCATTTTACCATCACACTCTCAACCACACACTCAACCACACACTCTAACTTAACTGTACACTCAACTTCTACTACACACTTCAACCACACACTTCAACTACACACTCAAGCACACACACTCAACTACACACACTTCAACCACACACACTCAAATACACTTCAACTCTCATGCTTCAAACCACACACCTCACTACATACTTCAACTACACACTTCAACTCACATACTTCAATACACATACTTCAACTACACTCTTAAATACATACTTCAAATACACACTTCAAGCACTCTAAATTAACTCACAAACTTCAACCATAATACTAACTACACACTTCAACTCTCATTGCCTAAATTCTAACACACACTCTACTTTCAATACACACTAAACCACACACACTTCAACTACACTTCTAATCACACACTTAACCATTCACTCTCAACCATACATAATTTCAAATACCTACTTCAACTTCTCTACTTCTTTAACTACCCACACAAATTCACAAACTCAAAATCCACACTTCAAATAAATACACCTAACTTCTACACTTCTCAACTCTCAATTTCAACTACATACTCTCAACCACATACACTCAACTGCACACTTCAACACTCCACTTCAACCACATACTTCAATGACATACTTTCAATCATGCACTTCAACTACACACTTCAACTACACACATACAATTCACACACTCTTTAAAACACACAACTACAAACTTACCATACTTTTAATAAATACACACCTAACTTCTTTTACACTCAACTCTCAATTTCTCAACTAAGCACACTTTAACTCTCACACTTCAACTTGCACTCTCAACCACACTTTCATTCCACAAACTCCCTCTCAACTCTCACACTTCAGCAAATACACTTCTACTACACACTTTTCAACCACACACACTCTCAACTTCTCACACTTCAACCACACACTCTCAATCACATACTAACTCTCACACTCTCAACCACACACTTCAACTACCTACACAACTTCACATACTCTAACAACACACTTCAACTGCATACTCAACTGCATACTCAAATACTCTCACTGCACACTTCACAACACTCACCACTATACTAATGGGTACATAATTTCAATCACACACTCTCAACCACACACTTTAACACCACATACATAACTACCTAACTTCAACTCTCATACTTTCAACACACCTACACACAACCACAAACTCAACCACACTCAACAACACACCTAACCACACACTTCAACTCTCACACTTCAACCACACACTTCAACCACACACTCTCAACCACACACTTCAACTTCAACCACACTTCAAACACACACTTCAACCAACTCTCACACTTGCCAACTCACAAACTCAACCACACACTTCCATAACCACACACTCAACTTCTCACGCACTCAACCACACACTCACTATACACACTCAACTACTACTTCAACCACACACTCTCAACCACACACTTTCAACTACACACTTCCAACTGCACACTCCCAACTCAACTCTACTACACACTTCAACTGTACACTCAGCCACACACTCAACTACACACACACTCCAAATCCACATACTCTCCCTACACACTACTTCACTCCCACACTCTCAACCACACACTTCAACTGCACACTCAAACTCTACCACACACTTCAACTGTACACTTCAACCACACACTCCAACCACACACTCCAACCACACACTCAACTACACACTCAACTACACACACTCAACCACATGCACTTCAACCACACACTCAACTCTCTACTACACACTCTCAACCACACACTCTCAACCACACACACTCCAACCACACACTCAACCACACACTCACACACTCAACACACTCACACTTCAACACACTCAATTACACACTCAACCACACACTCTCAACCACATACTCAACCACACACTCAACCACACACTCAAACACACACTCAACTCTCACACTCAACCAGAAACTCAACCACACACTCCCAACCACACACTCAACTCCTCACGCTCAACCACACACTCAACCACACACTCTCCACACTCTCAACCACACTCAACTACACACTCAATCACACACTCAACCACACACTCACAACCACACACAACAAATCCCACTCAACTCTCACACTCAACCACACACAACCACACAAATCAACTTTCACACTCAAAGAACACACTCAACCACACACTCAACCACACACTCAACCACACACTCAACCACCCACTCAACTCCCTCACTCTCAACCACCCACACAAAACTTCCACAACACAAACTCAACTCTCACTTCAACAACACACCCAACCTCACACTCAACCTCACCCTCAACCACACACTCAACCACACACTCAACCGCACACTCAACACTCAACCACATACTCAACGACACACTCAATCACGCACTCAACCACACACTCAACCACACACACAATCACACACTCAAAAACACACACAAACCACAAACTCACCTACACACTTACAACAACACACACCCAACTCACACTTCAACTTTCACCTCAACTACATACACTTAACTCTCACACTCAACTCGTACCATACTTTCACACTCTCATCCACAAACTCAACCTCACACTCAGCAACACACTCTACCACACACTCAACCACACACTCAACCTCACACTCAACCACACACTCAATCACACACTCAACCTCACACTCAACCACACACTCAACCACACACTCAACCACACACACTTTCAACTGCACACTCCAACCGCACACTCAACACTCACCGCACACTCAACACTTCACCACATACTCAACGGCACACTCAATCACACACTCAACCACACACTCAACCACACACTCAACCACACACTCAACCACACACTCAACAGCACACTCAACCACACACTCAACCACACACTCAACCACACACTCAACCACACACTCAACCACACACTCAACCACACACTCAACCACACACTCAACCACACACTCAACCACACACTCAACCACACACTCAAATCCACACACTCAACCACACACTCAACCACACACTCAACCACACACTCACCCTCAACACTTCAACCACACTCAAACCACACACTTCAACCCACACACTCAAACTCACACACTCAAATCCTCACACACACTTCAACCCACACACTCTACAACCACACTTTTAACCACACACTTCAACCACCACACTTCAACTGCACACACTCTCAACTTCTACTCACACACTTCAACCACACTCAACCACTCACTTTCAACTAATGCACTTAAACCACATACTAAACCACACACACTCAACCACACACTTTCAACCACATACTTCAACCACACACTTCAACCATGTACTTCAACTGCACACTCTTTCCAACCTACTTAACCACACTCTCAACTACACACTCTCAACCACATTTCACTCTCAATCCAACTACACACACAACCACACATATTTCAACCACACATACTCAACTGCATACTTCAACTACACACTTCAACTACACACTTCACCACATACTCTCAACTGCACACTCAACTGCACACACTTTCTACTACATACTTCAACTACACACTTGGCAACCACACACTCAAATTCACACACTAACCACACACTTCAAATACAATACTCACACTCAACTACACACTCACTTCAACCACACACTCAATTGCATACTAAATCCACTACACACTTCAACTAACATACACCTTCACTACTCACTTCAACCATGCACTTCAACTACATACCTAACACACACTCTTAACCACACACTTCAACCATGCACCTTAACTGTACACTCTCTCTACTACCACACACTCAACCACACACTTCAACTACACACTTCAACTACTGCATACAACTACACATACTCTTAAACATACATACTAAACTGCACACTTCAATAGCACACTTTCAAACTTCACTGCATACTTCAATACTTCAAATTCATATACTTCAATGACACACTTAATTACACACTCTCAACCACACACTACCTACACACATACAACTACATACTTCAACTCTCACACTTCTACTACCCACACAAACTACAAATTAACCATACTTCAAATAAATACACCTTAACTCTCACACTTCAACTTCACACTTCAACTACACTCTTTAACTACACACTTCAACCACACACTATCAACTACACACTCAAATACACACTCAACTCTCTACACTCTTAACCACAAACTCTAACTACACACTCTAACCACACACTTCAACTTCACATGCTCAACTACACACTTCAACTACATACTCAACCACACACTCTCAACCACACACTTTTCAACTACACACTCTCAACTACATACTTTTCAACTGTACACTACTCAACTTCAACTACACACATAAATTACACACTTCAACTCACACTTTCAACCACACTTCCCAACTACACACTCACTATACAACTACTAACTACACACTCTAACCATGCACTCAACTGCACACTTCAACTTTTCTACTACACTTCAACCACACACTTTCAACTACACACTTTCAACTACACACTTCAACTACACACTTCACCACACACTCTAAACACACACTCAACTCTCACGCTCTACCACACACTACTTCAAATTACACACTCAACCACACACTTCAACCACACACACTCACTCTAACTACACACTTCAAACTACATACTCAAATACACACTTCAACTCTACACTCAACTACAAACTTCAACCACATATATTTCAACTACACACTCTCAACTCTCACGCTTCAACCACACACTCTCACTACACACTTTCACTTCAACTAACTACACTTTCAACTCACATACACTACTCTAACCACACACTTCAACTACACACTCTAACTACAACTACACATACAAATTCACTCTAACTCTCACTTGTCACTCTCTACACAATCACACAACTTCAACCACACTTCAACAACACACCTAACCTCACACACTCACAACTCACTACCTCTCAACTACACACTTCAACTACACACTCTCAACTGCACACTTTCACACTCTAACAACCACATACTTCAATGACACACTCTCAATCACGCACTTCAACCACACACACTCCAACCACACACACACAATCACACACTAAAACACACACAACCACAAACTCTACCCACACTTTCAACAACACACCCAAATCCTCATTTCACTCAACTCTCACCCTCTCAACCTACACACTTAACTCTCACACTCAACCCACTGGCCTGCACTCTCAACCACACACTTCTCATCCACAAACTCAACTCTCACACTCAGCAACACACTTCTACCACACACTCAACAACTCACTTCAACTCAACTCACACTCAACTACACACTTCAATCACACACTTCCAACTCTCACACTCAACCACACTTCAACCACACCTACACAACCACACACTCAAACCACACACTCAACCACGCACTCAACTGCACACTCAACCTCTACCACACACTCAACCACACACTCAACCACACACTCAACCACCCACACAACCACACACTCAACCACACACTAAACCGCACACTCAACCGCACACTCAACACTCACCGCACACTCAACACTCAACCACATACTCAACGACACACTCAATCACACACTCAACCACACACTCACCCACACACACAACCACACACACTCAACTCTCACACTTCTACTACACCCACACAACCACAAACTCAAATCCACACTCAACAACACACCCAAACTCACACTCCAACCCTCACACTCAACTCACCACACACTCAACCACACACTCAACCACACACTCTCAACCACACACTCAAACACACACTCAACTCTCTCACACTCTTCAACCACAAACTCAACCACACACTCAACCACACACTCAACCTCACGCTCAACCACCACACTCACAATTACACACTCAACCACACACTCTCAACCACACACTCAACCACACACTCAACCACGCACACCCAACTGCACACTCAACCTCTACCACACACACAACCACACACTCCTCCAACCACACACTCAACCACACACTCAACCACACACTCAATTAATACACTCTCAACCACACACTCAACCACGCACTCAACTGCACACTCAACCTCTACTCCACACACTCAACCACACACTCCTCAACCACACACACTCAAGCACACACTTCAACCACACACTCCCAACCACACACTCAAACACACACTCAACTCCTCACGCCTCAACCACACACTCACCATACACACTCAACCACACACACTCAACCACACACTCAACCACACACTCAAACACACACTCAAACACACACTCAACTCCTCACACTTCAACCACAAACTCAACCACATACTCAACCACACACTTCAACTCTCACGCCTCAACCACACACTCAACTACACACTCACTCAACCACACACACTTCAACCACACTTCTTCAATCACACACTCAACCACACACTCTCAACCACACACACAACCACCCACTCAACTCCCTCACTCTCAACCACTCCACACAACCACAAACTCCAACCACACTCAACAAATAACACCCAACTCCTCACACTCAACTCTCACTCTCAACCACACACTCAACCACACACTCCAACTGCACACTCCAACACTCCAACCAGCATACTCCAATGACACACTCCAATCACGCACTTCAACCACACACTCAACCACACACACAATCACATACTCAAAAAACACACACAACCACAAACTCAATGCACACTTTTAACAACACACCCAACTCTGGCTACTCTTCCAACTTCTCACTTTCTCAATCTACATACTTTTAACTCTCACACTTCAACTCGTACTTCAACTACACTTCTCATCCACAAATCTCAACTCTCACACTCAGTAACACACTTTTACTACACACTTTCAACCACACACTTCAACTTCACTCTCAACTACATACACTTCAATACACACTCAACTCTCACACTCTCAACTACACACTCAACTACCTACACAACCACACACTTCAACTACATACTCTCAACTTCTGCATAATTTCAACTGCACACTTAAGCAATACTCTACTGTAAGCACTTCAACACTCTACCATATACTAAATGGCATACTCTAATTACACATACTCAACTACATACTCTCAAATCTCACACACAAAACTACCTACTTCAACTTTCACACTTCAACCACCCACATATGCTCCACAAACTCAAATTCATAATTACTCAACAACACACTCTAACCTTACACTTCAACTCTCACACTTCAACCAAGCACACTTCAACCACATACACTAACCACACACACTTCAACTACACACTCAAAACATACTTCACTTCACACTCTCAACTACAAACTCAACTACAAACTTCAACTACACACTTCAACCACACACTTCCAACCCTCTACAAGCCTCAACCACATACTTCAACTACATACTTTCAACTACTAATACTCAACTCACTATACACTTCAACCACACACTCTCAACCATGCACTTCAACTGTACCACTCAACTTTCTACTCACACACTTTCAACTGTACTCAGCTACAGCACACTTCCAACCACACACTTCAACCACACACTCTCAATGGCACACTTCAACTCCCTACACTCTCAACCATGTACTTTCAACTGCATACTCAACTTTCTACTACATAATTTCCAACTGTATACACTCCAACCACACACTCAACCACACACTCCAACCACACACTCTACTACACTTCAACCTCTACACACTCAACCACGCACTCTCAACCACACACTCAACTTTCTACTACACACTCTCAACCACACACTCACAACCACACACTTACAACCACACACTCAAACCACATACTTTCAACCTTACACACGCTCAACCACACACCATACTCTACACACTTCAACCACACACTCAAACCACATACACTCAACCACACACTCAAACCACACACTTCAAACACACATAATTTCCAACTCCTACACACTGCCAAATTCACAAACTTCAACTACACACTCAACCACACACTTCAACTCTCACGCTGCTAACCACACTACTCAATTACACTCTAACCACATACTTCAACTTCACATACTCCAATCATACATACTCAACCACACACTCAACCATACATACATACACATAACTCTACTCTAACCTCAAGCACTTCAACTACCTACACAACAACCACAAAATCAACTACACTTCAAGAATACACTCTAACTTTCACACTCTAACCATACTCATTTCCACACACATACAATTCACTCTACTTTCAACTCTCACTTTCCAACTACCTACACAACTCACAAATCCTAACCATACTCAAATAAATACACCCAACTCCTTACACTTCAACTCTCACTCTCAACCACATACTCAACTATACTCCTTTCAACTGCATACTCAACACTTCAACTACATACTTCAATGACATACTCTAATCACGCAGCACTCAACCACACACTTAACCACACACACAATCACATACTCTAAAACACATACAACCATACAAACTTACACTTACACTAAATAACACACCTAACTTTCACACTCACTCTCTAATTTCTCAATCTACATTACTTTTAACTCTCACACTCTCAACTCTTGCACTTCAACCACACTTCCTCATCCACAAACTCAACTCTCACACTTCAGCAACATACTTTCACTACATACACACACTTCAACCACACACTTCAACTCTCACACTCTTCAACCACATTTACTCTAATCAAGCCACACACTCCAACTCATTACACCTAACCACACACTTTCTAACCTACCCACACAAATTTCATACACTTCCAACCACACACTCTAACTGCACAACTTCCAAACTGCACACTTCAACACTTCACTGCACACTTCTCAATACTTCACTATATACTTCAATGCATACTCTCAATCACACACTCAACCACACACTTCAACCACACACACACAACTACCTACTCAACTCTCACACTCAACTACCTACACAAATTCCACAAACTCAACTTACACTTTTTCCAAATAAATACACCCAACTCTCACACTTCAACTCTACACTCTCAAACTCCACACCACACTCAACCACACTCTCAACCACACACTGTCAACCACACACCTAAAACACACACTCTAACTCTCACACTCTCAACCACAAACCTTCAACTACACACTTCAACCACACACTTCCAACTCTCACGCCTAACCACACTCAATTACACACTCTCAACCACTCTACTCTCAACCACACACTTCCAACCACACACACCTTCAACCACCCATTGCACTCAACAACTGCATACAATCCAACTCTCTACCACACACTCCAACTCGTACACTCACAGCCAACTGCACACTCAACCACACACTCAACCACACACTCTACTACACACTCAACCCCTACACTTCAAACTTCATGCACTTCAACTGCACACTCAACTCCTCTACCACACACTTCCAACTGTACACTCAACCACACACTCCAACCACACACTCCACTACACACTCAACCCCACACTCCAACCACGCACTCAACCACACACTCAACTTCTACCACACACTCAACCACACACTCAAACCACACACTCAACCACACTCAACCACACACTCTCAACTCTCACGCTCAACCACACACACCACTTACACACTTCAACCACACACCTCAACCACACACTCAACTACACACTCCTCAACCACACACTTCAAACACACACTCCAACCTCACGCTTTCAACCACACCTCTCAATTATACACTCAACCACACACTCCAACCACACACTCCAACCACACACACCAACCACATCCACACAAACACACACTCAACTTCCTCTACACTCTCAACCACAAACCTTCAATCCACACACTCTTCAACCACACACTCCAACCCTCACGCCTCAACCACACACTCACACCACACACTCCAACCACCACACTCAACCACCACACTCCAATCATACACACTCAACCACACACTCAACCACACACACACAAATAACCCACTCAACCTCACACTCTTTAAATCCAAGCACCCACACACAACCACAAATCAACCATACTCTCTTAAGAACACACCCAACCCTCACACTCCAAACTCACACTCCACACTCAAATCCACACTTCAATTAACACACTCTCAACTACACTCTAAACATACTCCAACTCTCATACTTTCAACCACACAAACTCTCAGCAACCACATACTTCAAATCCACACATTTCAACCTCACTGCTTAACCACACACTCAATTACTACATCACTTCCAACACACTTCAAATTCACATACTAACCACATACTTTCAAATGCACTAAACTGCACACTTCAACCTCTACCACACTCTTCAACTGTACACTCTCAACTTACACATATACTTCAAATTTCACACTCCCAACTTAACTCTACTAACCACACAACTAACCACTACAATTTCAACCATACAATTTCAACTGCACACTCATACTTCAAGCTAAATGCATAATAACAACATAATAATTTAGTACTAACTTGGATACTCTAATTTCTACACACATACTTCACCACACTTCAATTACACACTTCTTAACCACATACTTACTTCCAACTCTAACTTCTACTTTTACACTTCAACTACATACTTCAGCTACATACTTTCTAACTACATACACTCAACCACATACTTTCAACCACATACTTCAACCACACACTTCAAATACATCCTACGCTCAACACACACTCTCACTACACTTAACCACACAAATTCCCAAATCCACACTCTTAAACCACATACTTTCAACTCTCACACACTCTCAACTCTTACACTAAGCTCTTCAAATCAAACATAAACTCAACTCTTCACACTACTTACTCAACCACACACTTAACTCAAGCACACTTTTAAATTCTACATACTCTAAATAAGCACTTCAACCACACACTCCATTCACACACTCAACCATACAATCTCCACCACACTCACAACTTACACTCTACTCTACCTGTTACCTACATAACCAGCAAATCAAATCAACTCCACTTGCACACCTAAACCTCATTTCCAACTTCATACACTTCAACCACACATGTCTCACCATACATAAATTCACTCTCAACTTCTCCAACAATTACAAACTCATACAAACTCTCAACAACACACCCAACAAATACACCTCAACTCTCATACACACTCAACTTACCTTAACCATACTTCAATATTAACACATACTTAATTTCACAACTGCATACTCAAACACAAAACCACATATACTTAATGACACACACTTCCAATCATGCACTCCAACTACACACTCCAACCACACATACAATCACACACTCTCAAAATACACACAACCACAAACTTCACCTACACTTAATAAATACACTCCAACTCTCACTCAACCTCAATTTCTCAACTCTACACACTTTAACTCTCACACTCTCAACTCTCGTACTTTCAACCACTTCTATCCATCCACCTTAACTCCTTAACTTCTCAGTAGCACTTCAGTAACACAATTTCTACCACACACACTTCAACTCTGGCTACACTTCAACCACTCACACTCTCAAATTCACACATACTTCAATTTCACACTCAACCTCATACACTCAACCACACACACTCAACCACCATACACAACACACACACCTTAACCACATAATTTCAACTTGCACACTCTCAACTTCTGCACACTCAACACTTCACTGCATTAATTTCCAACATTTCTACCTACATACTAATGGGTACACTTCAATTACACATCTAACCACACACTCTAAACCACATACATACAAATTACCTACTCAACTCACATTCAACTACCTACACAATACATAAACTTTAACTACATACTTCAACAACATACTCTCAACTAAATACACTCCAACTCTCACACTTCCAACTCCACACACTTTCAACCACACACTTCCAACCACACTTCAACCATACTTTCAAACACACACTTCAACTCTCACACTTCAAATCTTACAAATTCTCAACCACACACTTCCAACCACACACTCAACTTTCACGCTCTTTAACCACACATACCTACTTTGGCATACACTGTCAACCACTTACTAACCACACACTCAACTTCAAAACACTCTCAACCATGCACTTCCAACTGCACACTCCAACTCCTACTACATACACAACTTCAACTGTACACTCAGCCACACACTCCAACCACATACACTTCACTACACACTTCTCAACTCCTACACTAAATACTACACACTCCAACTCCTACACTTCAACCACATGCACTCCCAACTGCATACTTCCAACTTCTACCACACACTCAACTGTGTACACTCTCAACCACACACTTCCAACCACACACTCAACCACACACTCTACTAAGCACACTTCAACTCCTACACTTCAACCACGCACTTTCAACCACACACTTCAACTTCCTACTACACCACTTCAACCAGCACACACTCCAACCACACACTCAACCACACACTCAACCACACTCTCAACCTTACGCTTCAACTACACACTTTCAACTACACACTCAACTACACACTCTAACTACACACTTAACTACACACACTCCAACCACACACTTCAAACATACACTTCAACTCTCACGCCTCAACTACACACTCACTACACACTCTAACCACACACTCAACTCAACCACACACTTCCAACCACACTCAACCACACACTCAAACACACACTCAACTCTCACACTCATAACCACAAACTCAACCACACACTCAAGCAACCACACTTCCCAACTCCCTTACGCCAACCACACTCTTTCACTCTCATACACTCAACCACACTCACTTCAACCACACACTCAATCACACACTCAACTACACACTCAACCACATACACAACAACCCACTCAACTCTAAGCACTCAACCACACCCACACAACCACAAAATCAACTACACTTCAAGAAATACACCTAACTCCCTCACACTCCCAACTCCTCACACTTCCAACCACACTCTCAACCACACACTCCAACCACACTTCAACCACACACTCAAAACACATACACTCTTCAACTCCTCACACTCAACCACAAAACTTCAACCACACACTTCTCACCACACACACTCAACTCTCACGCCTCAACCACACACACTACTAATTTCACTCACACACTTCAACTACACACTTCAACCACACACTTCAACTACATACTCAAATCAATGCACCTAACTCTACAACTTCCTCTACTACACACTTCAACTGTACACTCTTCAACTGTACACTCTCAACCACACACCCCACTCAACAACACTACACTCAACCACGCAATTTCACTTACACACTCCAACTCTACACACACAACCACGCACACTCAACTGCACACTCAACTCTTTCTAACCACACTCAACCACACACTCTCAACCACACACTCAACCACACACTCCAACCACACACACTCAACCAACTCACGCTGCAACCACACACTCACACTCAACCCTACACTCAACCACACACTCAACCACACACTCAACCACACACTCAACCACACACTCAAACACACACTCAACTCCTTTGTACCCAACCACAAACTCAACCACACACTCGCCAACCACACACTCAACCCCTCACACGCTCAACCACATACTTTCACTACACACTCTCAACCACACTCAATCACACACTCAACCACACACTCAACCACACACACAACAACCCACCTAACCTCACACTCAACTTCACCCACACAACCACAACTCAACCTCACACTCAACCACACCCAACCTCACACTCAAACACACACACTCCAACTCACACACTCAACCACACACATTCCCACCCTCACACTCCAATCACAGTAGACTCAACCACACACTTCCAACCCTCACACTCCCAACCACACAACCACAAACTCAACCACACATCTCAACCACACACTCAATCACACACTCAACCTCCTCACACTCAACCTCACACTCCAACTCCCACTCCTCAACCACACACCAACCAGCACACTCAACCCTCACCCCCAACCACACACCTCCCAACCACACACACAGCCACACACTCCAACCACACACTCAGCCACACACTCAGCCACTACACTCAACCAAACACACAACCACACTTTCCTCAACCACACACTCCAACCACATACACACAAACCACACACTCAACCACACACTTCAAGCACACTCTCTTAACCTCCTGTCAGTTGCCACCTACTCATCTCAAAACCCGTGCAGATCCGGGTTAGAATTGATCTTTCAGCAACCCATGCTTGTCGTGTAAGAGGCGACTAACGGGATCGAGTGGGTCCGACTCCACTGATTCTGGCTGGACAATATGTCACTGTATCGCAAAATGTGCGTAGATCGATGCCTGCGTTGTTGATCACTGGATTGTCTGGTCCAGACTCGATTATTTACAGACCTCCGGCATATAGCAGGAACATTAAGGGAGTGTGCGGTGTTAAAACAACAACCAAACAAACAATCCAAAGCCAAGCAATCTAGACAGAGTACTTATA